AGCTGCGCTTCCGCTTTTCGTAAACCTCCTACTCTCGTACCTAAACCTTTCACTGCCAAGCGTTTGTTACAATTACACGGTAGGATCTCAGTACGAGATTGTATACCTCAAATACCAGTTTTTAACCGCTAATAGACGTATTTGTCACACACCTACTCTACCTAAGCAAAGACAACGAATGAATGTTTTTATTCATACCATAATCTGGTAGAGTGCAAATAGAGCGGCAATTGTCATAGCAACACTTCAAATTTCCCGGACATTCATTATCTGTAAGGCATGCGCTGGTTGTGACCGCGCATCTGATTCTGATCGGGTAGAATGGGCAGGTCCCCGGCTTTGGCTTTGGCGCTTGTGTGACAGCTGCAAAGAAATGAAAAAAAAAATTAAGCAGTAGAATAAAATGAAATGAAGATGAGAGAAATGAAACAAGGCAAATAACAATATATTTTCCAACACATGTCCTGAACCTTTCGATAAACATTCTTTGACAAGCCCTTCTTCAAAAGACAAACTTTTTGCATTAAATTAAATTTTTTTTCAAAACCTGATTTATATAATTGTGTAAAGCATTTTAGTAAATTTTTCGCATAATATATTTTTTATAAACTTTTACTATTACTGCTATTAGTAAAAAATTAATGGCATAATTAACTGACGTACTGGGATTGATGCAGGCAGTGGAAGCTACGTCTTGGGTGGCTTTCTTCAAATTCTCGAATGTCTCGACTTTAAAAACATATGAAGAATCCCTGGCAATCAATCGAAGCTCATCATCAGAAATCTCTGGGCCAATTCCGACCACGAGAACTCGCACTCCTTGATCGTGAATCGGTTTTGCTGCAACATTGAGGTCAAGTGCATCTGGGTCACGCGTCTGACGACCATCTGTCATAACAATTACAACTTTCGGGAAGCCAGGTCTGCCGAAAAAAACTTACCCCGATCAAAATTTGTCTCATAATTGTCCATTTATATTTGTATAAGTGACCATTCCTTTTTTATGGCGTAAGGGGAGAGGGGTGGGAGAATTTTGGGAGCGAGAGTCTCTCATGGTTTTTAGGGGGAAAAAAGGAAAGTCATTGGTTGTCACTTACATTGTGTAGGGGGGGAAACCATAAAAAATTGACTGCCAATAAGGGTGGATCTTTAGAATATTACATAATAGTACTAATTGGAGGGATCCGGTAAATTTTATTGTGACACAACCAAATTCCTCTGTTTTCCCCCCCTCCCCCCGACGAAGTAGCATATCCTCTTTCTGTAATTATTCCACCAACCATCAGCCTCCGTCCACTCTATGTCAGTGATATGCGTTTATCAGTTTGCAAAGAGTACAAGACTCTTTGCAAACAAATAATTAATTCTTCCAAACTCAGTTTAGTAAGCAGATCACATCGCTTGAGAAGAAAAACAATTGTCAAAGGCTTATTGCAGACTATAAAAATTCTCTGACAGCTGGATTAGACAAAGGTCTTCCCACATTCAGGAAAAAACCCCTTTACTTTCTGTGGGTCTTTAACAAATAAATATTTTTTTTTCTGAATGCAATCTGTCTAAGAACATTGTGCATTTCTAATTAATGGAAATATGTATTGAAAACCTTACCTGGCCTGTTCCAACACTTGTGCAGTCATTGTCAGCGCTTTGTCAATTCTGGTCCTTCTTTGCAGGTACGGTAAAGATTCCACTGCCGATAAGAAACTACTCAAGTTGGAATACTGATCAAATGTAATTTCTAGCTGTGTTTCATCGCTGTAAATGATCACTGCTGCTCTACTTCCTGCTCCAATCTTGAAAATGTCAGCGAGTCTCTTAACGAAATCTTTTTCCTGTCTATACTGGGGTTCGTCGATACTACGCGACGAATCCATTACGAACACGACATCTAAGAGTTTATCACACCGAACAGGTTCGGCGGTGGTCGGAGTGGTCATGATAGGAGTAGATGTTGTCGTCGCCCTTGTAGTACTCGGTGTAGTATTCGTAGTATTCGCTGTTGTTTTATTGGTAGCTCCTGCAGGCTCTTTTCGGGAAAAAAATTATATCATTACTTTACTTTACTATAGTTAAATTATGTTGGCTGTAATAATTAATTACCGAATCAATTAAATACTTCCTACAGCCAAGTAATCAGGTTACCCAAGATCTTTCTCTTAAGAGAAAGGAAAGCTTTCGACTAGCCTTAGAGAAAAATAGTTTTTAAAAATACAAATTCAACCAAAGAATTTCACTAAAATCACTATGGAGAAATGGTTACAAAATAATTTGCGTCGCTTGGGAACTTGAGAATTCCCTGGGTCCTTAAGACTCTCGGCGCAAAGTTCATTGGTTCTGTGCTGAGACATTGAGATGTTTTTCAATATTCCGGCGAAACAGCTAAGAAGGGAGCGAGCCCATCAAAACCTCCACATGTTCGGGGTCATCCTAGTACAAGACCATTCGTTCTGTTTAAGGGAATCGTACCTTCGCAAGTCAACAGGTAAACTATTCTGAGTCATGGCTCATTCCACATAATCCACCATTTCTTGAATATTGACATAAACACAATCATTACTTTTGATTCACGAGTGGTGTATGTTTTAAATTTATGTTTATTAGTTCTTATTATTTATTACGTTCTTTTTCTCTTTACTTACGAGGGCAGACAACTTCCAGTAGCTCCGCAGATTTGTTAAGTAATTCCTGGAAAGAAGTCATTAGGAAAACATCGTCCTGGCTTGTTACCAAGTCCTCTAGTTCACTTCGGTCCACCCTCGGTCCCACGCCGACAGCAAGAACGCGAACTCCTTTCTCACGAAGAGGTAACACAGCTGTATCTAGTGGCTCAACTCCAGGTCCCGGCGTCTGTATCCCGTCAGTCATCACTACGGCAACGGAACTCACAGAGCTTCGTGGATTTAAAAATAACGTTTGCGCAGCAAAGCGGAGGGCGCTGTCTATTCTTGTCATACTTCGTTTGTGCGTCAGGTCGTCTACGGCAGACTCGAATTCGCTGATTGAATTTTGACTTCGAAAGTCTACCATTAGTTCAGGCCGACCGCTGTACATAATGACCCCAACACGACTGTCTGGGGAAGCACTTAAGAATAGGCCAGCAATCTCTTTCACGGCAATCTTTTCTCTCTCAAAATCTTCGTCCGTAATGCTTTCGGACGAGTCCATTAGGAAAGCAATGTCCACTCCTTGAACACATTTGGTGGCTACGAAAAGTAAAAGCAAACAATATGCAACATTTTCAAGTGCAAGGAGCAGGATAACAAGGTTATAAGGTTATCTTTCTCATTTTCCCTATTTCCCAAAAGGATAATAATCCCATTAATGATTATTAATCACTTCTAACTAACCCTCTTTCCTCGGTCTCTCCGGCTAAGGAGCCAAATTATCAGGGAGACCACGGACTAGGCATTTCTGCCTATTCTTTCCCTTTTCCTCTCCTTTTTTGTTTTTAGAAACAAAGGAAAATTAATGTAAAAACGTCAGTTTTCAACGGCTATTTATTTTTGCGAATGTAGTTTTCTAAACCTCAACCCATACCCTTGGAACTATCCTTTTTTTCCCTATATGAGCTCGAGTAAGCAAGTGTCTATTGAACAACATATCATACACTTTTGCGTTGTAGTTACGAAAAGATTATGCTCCTATTAACATTCATTCCTTTCCCTGATTCAACCCTTTTTAAAGCTAAAAATACCCGGTATGCATTCCAGAAAATGCTAACGTTTACTTGCATTATAAGTTAAAAGTTTGTGATGGCATTTCAGAACTTTCTTTCTCGAAAAATAAAGAGAGGAATCACTCACAATTACTGATTTGACTGCAAGTGTTGTCAGCAAATGTTTGCGACATGCGAAGAAGATCTACGAATAAATCCACCAGAAAAGCATCCGCATCGCTTTCAACCAATGACTTGAGTTTATTGATATCAACATTGGACCCAATCCCTACAGCAAAGATCCGCACATTTTGATCACGAAGGAGTTGGACCGGTTGGTTAAGTGCCATTGAATCTTCTGTGTGAGAACCGTTTGTTAAGGCGATTAACACCTTTGGGACATTTATCCTTGCAGATTTAAACATATCCGATGTTTTCTTCAGAGCGAGGTCGATCCGAGATCCCCCTTGTGTTTGGATCTGGCTAATACGGTCTATGGCGTTTGCAAATTCAAAGGTGCTATCAAAGTCATCAAAGTTGATACGCGCGGTGGCTTTGTCGTCATAAGTGACCACAGCGGCACGGCTGGCTCCAAGGCTGAAAATCCGCGCCAGATCTCGAACAAAATCTCTCTGTTTCTCAAAGTCACCAGCACTTACTGAGGAGTCCATAAGGTAGATTATGTCCACGCTAGCGGTACAAACTTGAGCTTGAATTAAAGAGAGAGAGAGATAATACAAATATGCTCGGAGATGAAATTCTGAAATCTCTACCTCAACTTTATCTGCTGGCTTCTAAGTAAATTGAATAAAATGCATCACGAGGTAGGGAAAAGTCGAGAAACTTTCAGCCGCATTGGCCTACTAATATATCTGGCAAATTACAGTTTTTAAACGTTCAATTCAATAGCCGAAGTCCCACTAGCAGATACATATATTCAAGAATCTCGATGGATTTTAAATCCAATCCAATCCAAGGTGGCTCTTCGTCTACCGTTACCAGGACTGGAATTTGGAGCGTTATTTGGACCGAAGAACCCGGAATAAAACTCCTAGAGAATAGTTGTAAAGCAACACGAAATTCAGTCTACAGGTGACGCCTGTTAAAGGATCGAGCACAGGATATAACGGTGGGAAAAGGACGGGTGACGGAAACGAGTGCCAACTGTACAGGGCCATTCCTGCTCCCCTTTTTAATTACGTATTTAATGACACCCACCAGCTGTGCTTCTGCACATTCGCCTGCAGCCGTCAAAGCAACACTTGTAATCACCGACGTCATTACAATCGGAATCACAGGTACATTCGTCTTGAACTAGGCCAAGACATCGCTTGGTTGGCGAATACGGCGGACAATAACCCTCAGGATCTAACATTCGCACAAAAAGAAACAATTGAATTAAAAAACGACTGAAAAGAGAAATTATACTAGAGAATTGAATTTATATTTACAAGGAAAATTTGGAATATTTTGAAAGTCCTTACCCAAGGGCGGCGGGTTGTGCTCAGTCAGTACGCAAAATTCCGTCAAAATATGAAAGTAGTCATTCATTACTTTTACGCCTGTTAAACGACTAAAGGTGTTTTATCCACCATTTTGGAATGAACGTTCTTAAATGATAAACTAAAGTATCCTAAAGGGAACTGAAACCTTAAAACAAAATAAACTTGCTTAATCTCGAACACGTTCTCCTGACAATAACAGACTCCTTTACTCTGCGACTTCAAATTTGTGAAGTGATGTCTACGTATGAAAGTTCAACAAAAGTTTCAAAAGGAGGTTGAAAACAAGTTTTGTTTTGAGGGATTCATATTCTAAACTTGGACCAAATTGTTCTCTCGTTGCTACCTTAGGGATGTCGATGCAAGGCAATGGCCCTAACAGGTTACCGGTTTTTAGTTAACGAGAAGGAGAACAGTTGGGGTTGCTTTTACCATTCGAGCCTATAACCTTGCGTTTTATAAATTCGGAAATTCATTAAATTTTAGCTACCTCTACCGACGAACATTGCCATGTTTGAGGAATTGAACAACTGCGCGTTTAGAATTTTCTGTAGACAAAACAGAACCAATAATGTTGAACATACCTTCACAGCTCCTTATGCTGCAAGCCCGGGTCTGCTGACTAGGTCCTTCACATTGCCTGCCGCCACTTGTCGGTCTGGGACTGTCGCATCTGCGTTCTTGGGTCTGTGATCCTGTCCCACAAGTCTTGGTGCATCTGCTCCATTTACCCCAAGGGCTCCAGCCTCCATGCACTATCAGCAAGGAAAATTAAAATATTCATGACTTAAAACGTCGGTAAACACCCCTGATACCAGTTTGGCAGAGCATCCGAATATGGTTCCCGACTGACAAACCCTATTTTTGTTTCCTCACAGTACGGTCGTGGTAATCATTTGACATTGGTTTTTATCCATATCTTTTGTTATTATTATGGCCATCGCTATCATTATAATCATTATCATGGAAATTATCAATTATCTCTTTATCATTAGAATAACTACTGTAAGATTCAGTTTTTCGAGGAAAAGGAAATTAACGTCAGCGACTTTTAACTTTTCTCTTAGGATAAAAAAAAACCCGATGAAAATCAATGTCGATGAGTTTCGATTTCTCACTCTCTCTCACTTGGTTTTTTTTTTTTTTTTTTAAAATAATTCAATCTTTTAAAACTTTTCATATTGGGAAGAGGACTCACCGGGGCAATCCCTGATTTTACATTCCCGTGACTGCTGACTGAGTCCTTGACATTGCCTCCCTCCATTTTGTGGCCTTGGACTGTCACATTGGCGTTTTTGGATCTGTAATCCTTTCCCACAGGTCCTGCTGCATCTGCTCCATCCACTCCAAGGGCCCCACCCTCCATGCACTATTCAGTAAAATTAAATATCCAATATTAAAAACATCAGTATACCGCCTGGATGACAGTGTCAATTGTTGGTAGAGACAATGTTGAGTGCAGCAACGGTTTACCGGCTGAATGCCTATGTTAGAAGTTGTAAAATGAAATATCCCAGGTTGAAAACATCGGTATACCGACTGGATGACAGTGTCAAGCTGTTCTCACCTGTAGATCTGGGCGTTGTCTGGATCGGAGCTGGGGTTGTGACAGCAACTGAAAAAATTCATTTTTTAGTAAAATCACTCGTTAGAGAATGTTTAGAGAAGCAACAGTTTACCACCTAAATGCCTAAGTTAGAAGTTGTTAAATTAATCATCCAAGAAGGAAAACACCGGTTTAACGCCTGGATGACAGTGTTATATATTAGCAGTGCATCCGAATGTGGTTCCTGACTGACGGACCCTATTTTCATTTCGTCATAGTACGGTCGTGGTAACTATTTGAAATTATTTTTCTTTTCATATCATTTGTTATTGCGGTTGCTATCGCCATCATTATTATCATTATGACGATAATTATCATTAATTTTTTGTCATCAGCAGAACTATTCGGATTCAGTTTTCATTTACTGACAAGGACGTACCGGGACAAGCCTCGATTTGGCAACTTCGTAACTGCTGACTGGGTCCTTGACATCGCTCCCCTCCGTTTTGTGGCCTAGGACTGTCGCATCTGCGATCTCTGGTCTGTCGTCCAGTCCCACAAGTCCTGCTGCATTTGCTCCATTCATTCCAAGGGCCCCAGCCTCCGTCTGTTGTAAGATTTGGCGAACCTTGTTCTGTTGCTAAGGACAGCGTTGGCGTTCGAAGTGCATGATCATGTAGACAAGTTATAGATTAATTAGCAAATTTTTACAGTAATATATGGTATTATTCATCGATAAGATTTTTGCTTAACAGTAAAGTGAATGTATTTTCCAGCTCACAATTGGGTCATGCAGCAGCGTGCGTTCTTTATCATGAAGCACGTGGGATGTTTAGAGAGCACGAAAGGTGAATGCTCTCTAAAAACATTTTCAACACAGCAGTTTGAAAACAAACAATGCGCAGTAAATCTTTATAAATCGTCAGTTTTATGTTTGTCGAAAGGCGTTCTTCTCAAACTGAAAATATTCGCTATTAAACCCGGTGTTTAATGCACTTTAGTGTAGACTCTACGTTAGGCAACTAATGCAGCGACTAAATTTCATTTCCTCTTCGATCATCAAGGAAACAACCAGTGATGACCTGTTTTGGATTAAAGGAAAAATGTACTCCAGAAACCATATCTTTTCTCTTTGGGCTATTTCGCGTTTATGAAGTTAATTTTAGGACGTTTAGGTTACTCTTTGGAATTTAAAAAGGATGCTAGTAGTTTTAAAAATGTTTATGTCTACTTTTTAAACTCGGAGATATAAATTGTATTCGTTTAGAAGCAGAAGTAGTATGCGTCTCCTTTTATAATTTAACACGAAAGTCAAGACTAGAGCTTGAATTCAAAGTGGAAAATTATTTTCCGAAATTACTTGGAAACTACCAGTCCTTCCTGCCCTTTGGAGGATAAAAGGAATGTACACACTTTTTATCACACTCACCTGATAAAATTGCAGATACAACCGTTGGAACATAGCTTGGCAAATAATCAGATGCTCTCGGTGTCAGAAAGTCCTCTGGTCGAGCAACTAAACGGCGAATATTTGGAAAGTTTGACTCAGATCCAATACCCACGACAGTTATATTTATATCTTGTTTACGTAGAGCAGCTGACAGAGAATCTATGTTTGCTGGGTTTTGCAAATCCGTTTTGGCAATCAATACGATAATCTTCGGCACGTCGGGCTCGTCTTGGGAAAAACCCCTTGGCGCAAATTTCAAGGCCCAATCTAGCCCGCCACTTAGTCCACCAAGGTACCGAAGCTTGTCGACAGCATGCGAAAAGGGACCAATTTTTGGGTACGCTCCCATGCGGATGGCGAACTCAGGAAATGTATCATATATGATGACGGCTGACTGTGTATAGTTGGGACTGTGATTTAGCGCTCTTGCCAAACCCTTGATGAAATCTTTTTGGTTCCGATAGTTTACTTGTCCGACCAAAGAAGATGAATCCATAACGTAAATGACCTCAGCTTTGTAATCTTCTGGCGTCTTGACTTCTTCTATAGGGAACAAAAAAGAGAACGTCCATATAATGCAATAAGTGCTCATTCGGTCTATGCAAAATATCAAGTACTATCAAGAAAAGGGTCTCAAGATCAATTGGCCGTAGAAATGCATTCCTAGAAAAGTGACCATAATTTTTTCACATTCATTCATTTTTAGAAAATGCTCCTGTAGCTTCACGTAACAGTCTATCGGGATTTCAGGTTTTGAAGCTATTTTAAGTCTTTACACCCTAACATCATTATGCATATTCTCCATAATGTTCCCTTTAAATTTCCTAAGGTGCAAACCAGGAAAATTTAATTGACAATCAAGGGCTTCTTTGGTTGTGATCATTTCCTTTATTCTTGTGACCTTAATGTTTGATTCAGGGGTGATATTGTCACTCTTAGGGGTCAAAGGGTTAACAGAATTGGAGCAGAACACACGAAGTTAGTGATTTCGTCAAAGCAGTCCATCTTGCTAAAACTTACCAGCTCTAGAAACTGTATAAGAAACTATTGATGGCACATTAAGTTTCAAATCACCAGACCGAGGAATCTCAAAGAAGTCAGTTGTACTCTCTACAATAAGTCCTAGCTGCTGATCATCAGCGTCGACACCTACACCGATGACATAGAGGATTGCATTAGTATCCCGGACGTTTTGCACTATCTCTTGCAATCGTTGAGAACCAAGCTCTGGAGACTGTCGTCCGTACGTTATCAAAAAGACAACGTTGGAAGCGTTTTGGCGTCCAAAAATAGCAAGGTAGCTCGTAGCTTCTTTCAGAGCATCCTGGATGTTTCTCTTTCCTCCAATGAGAGTCACAGAGTCCACGTTGTCCTCGAACCGTTTTCCTCTGACATGGTCGTATAATCCACCAATCAAAATGGTTTTGTCGCCGTAACTGAACACCGCAGCATGAGAAGCAAAAGGAGAAACATCGAACCGCTGGGCCATGAGTTTTACAAATTCCTTCTGTTTTTCTAGGTCACTTTGGGTGACGCGGTTAGATGTGTCTAAAATAAAGACGATGTCCATTGAAGGGGAATCTCCATCTGAAAGGTAAATTAGCTCATCAGAACATATCCTTTTATACAAGTGTTTAGCCAGAGTGACGTGGAGCACGATGAATACATTATTGTGACATCGTTGTAGCTTGCAACTTGTCGTTAGATAATTTAGAATGTAAAGGACACAATTAGTTGTTCGTGAATAGCTTGTTGCACGTTGTGTTTTGTACTGATTTGTTGAGAATGTATGTACTTCCACAAAGGGGGTTTGCCACCAACTTGGAACTATGTTGAAAAAATGTTAAGAGCAGCAATGGTATGCCACTTAAATCCCAAGCTATTAATTGAACAAAATGAAACTGCGAGCCCTACTTTACATCTGGGCCCGTTGCTTAAATTGCAGCTACATTTGATTTAGAGCTAGAAAATTGAACTTGATTCGCATTTCTCTCGGGAAAAGGACTGTAAGCGTTTTGGTGAATTTTGTCGTAGTAACGCTACGTTCATATAGTTCAAAGGTTTTCGTTTCTTCCTAATCAAGAGTTGGTTGTACGTTAAGTCGTTCGGTAAAGTTTAGCCGTTGTTTAACAAAACCGCGTTCTAAAATATCTTCGTTTTAGTTGAATCTTTTCTCTGAACATTCAACTTTGTGAACAGTGACACGAAGATCGTAAGCTAAGAGTGGAAGGAAATTTATTGACTAACATCAACCCTCATATAGAGAGTACACGAAGCCCACCGCTTGCGTAAAAACGTGGTTTGGGTTAGACTTTGTGTAAATGACCGGCCTTACGGTTCTTACCTGTAGGGCTAGGCGTTGTTCGGATTGGAGCTGTAGTTGTGGTAGCAACTGAAAAAATAATTTGTTTGTAAATCATTTTTCGGACAATGTTGAGAGTAGCAACAGTTTACCGTCTGATTGCGAGTCCCACTGTGATGTATAACGACACAACGGAGGCCTCCTGCTTATATAGCAGTCAGGATTTATCTAAGGTTAAAAGTTAATTTTTGTTCTGATCTTCCGCTAAACTCTCGGTTGGTTTTTATCGTAGTGTACCCGGTACATTCAGATTTACTTCTTGAAAGTATGTTTTGCTGTAAGATTTTTCTTTCGTGGTTTAATTGACTTGTTGCGATAGTTTGGAGGCCTTCCTTTCTTTCTATCACGATAAGAATTCCACCAAGTGTTCAGTGTTCTTACCTGTAGATTGTGGAGCAACTGAAAAAAAAAAATATATATATATATATATTAGTCAGATAGTAGTTACCAAAATGGGATTTGGACATTTTCCTGGGTGCTTTACTGCTTATCCCAAGAAATACTGTAATAAGTTTTTGTGACATCAGGCACAGTCAAAGATTTTTATTTCGCCTGAAAATTCTAAAGAGACCGACTGATATAGAAAGACTTTGGAGTTGGAAAGGACAATAGAGAGAGACAGTTTTTACGAGTGGTATTATACGCCACATACCCACAAAATATAATTGAATTAATAAATGAATAGAAGGAATAAAATAAAGCACAAATGTGCTCTGACATTGAACACTCGGTGATTCCTTGCCTCAGGGAAATTTTGGTTCGAATCTACTTTAAAATGATGGTTTTAATGTAAACCGGTGAAAAAACTTCGTTGAGCAGGAACACGAAGAAGACGAGATTACAAAGCCCATGTCACAGTGACACCAGGCCAGGGAAATAAAATAAGCCACAGTGGTGAGCGGTGAGTGCTGTCATCACTACATCATCTCTGCTCTGGTCCATTCTCCAAAGTCGGATAGTACACTAAGGGTCAGAGTTCCCGTCATTGTTAAACATCTTAAACTAAAAAACAGCTTTTTAAATGAATTGTTTAAGTGTCCATTAACGAAGCTACACCTAAGCCCTTGGAGGAAAGAATCAACCCATAAGTAACCAGCAAGTAACTACCCGCATATCCTTAATACATTAACCATTTAAGAGTTTGCAGAGACGAGATAAAAAAAATCAGTGGTATGCTTCCACTAAAAGATGTTCTGTTGATAAAAAGGAGAATTCTAATACGAATCTTTGGTTGAAACAAATTATAATTACAGATCACAACGGAAATCCACGTACCGTATTCTTTCAAAAGGTCCTCCGTCAGCATTGCTGTCTTTTGAGGGAGGTCGGTGAAAGAAGGAACGGAAAAAATTTTTGTCTTAGCTTTATCCCCTCCCTGGAAGTAACTTGGATCCACGTCACCCCCAACCGCAAAGATATGTGTTTTCGTTCCAGTTTGGTGTAGAGGTTTGACAGCTGCAGCGAATGACTTAGCATCTGGCTCTTGTCGGCCTGCGGTCACCAAGATAACAAACTTCGGGTTATCAGTGCCGACGTCTTTCAGGACGTTAGTCGCCGCTTCTAAAGCTCTGTCAATTCTTCTGCCTTTTTTTAAATGTGGCAGATTATCCACCATTCTTTCCAAAGCGGCCTTGCTTTCCCGATTATCTATATTCAAAAGTACTGTTGCTTCTTCGCTGTAAACCATAAGTCCAACTCGAGAGTCGCTTTCGCCCGGATAGAGGTTTAGTCGGCTCATCATGGATTTAACAAATTCTTTTTGAGTCCTGAAATTAACAGGAGTTACCTGTTTGGACGAGTCAAGAACAAACAATACGTACGTCGAAAGATTCAGCTTCTTGGGTGCAACTGTGAAAAAAGAGAAAAAACACAATATTACATTGCCGAACGAAATCAACAAAACTTTGAGAAAGCTTCATCACGGCTTCTTATCCATGTAACGATATACCAAGTTTTTCAAAGTCATAAATTGTAATCCATTGCAGGCCAATACACGACTTTGCTAATACTATGTCCAAATTAACGCTAGGATTGGCCATCCCTAACCAGGTCCCTCGAAGAACAACTTAGTACAGATTCGTACACGAACCCACGAATTTGAAATAAAAGGTTTTCGTTGAAATTTTGTACCCTTCGGTATGTTTACGGTCGTGATTGCATTCCACACAAATTAATGATCAACTCAGCCCATTACGAAAAGAAAGATATATATCGGTCAAATCTGGAGAAGCTTTGAAAATTATATCAGTGGCTTATTAATTAGGCATAAGGTTTTCATTACTCATTAATACAAAGGGACCTACCCGATTCACTCAAAATGTAACTTCCAACTTGATTGACCTGTTTAGGAACATCACCGTTAGATTCTACGGTAAATACACTTTCTGTCTTGTCCACTAAGAATCTAAAATCTTGAATTTTGGCGGAAGGGCCAACCAGCGCAAGATACGTCCTCACACCTATGGCGCTCAGCTCATTGATTACATCACCAGCTGAGTTCTTGTCTTGCGGTTGCAGAGGTTTTCCAGAAGTAACAAGAAAGATGACTTTGGAAACAGAAGACGGAGACTTCGGAAACATCCCTGCCGCCTCCCGTAAAGCATCGCTAACACTGCGGTCTCCTCCATAATGAGGAACTTCGTCAACCTTCGATTCAAACTCGGTAAGTGATCTGAAGCTTTCGAAGTCAGAGATTACCGAAGGTCTGCCATTGAACACAATAAGGGCTGCTCGGGTTCCTTTTGGATCGATGTTTAAGTACCTGGCAAGAGACTTGACGAGATCTTTCTCTGTAGTATATGTAGAGGCAGTTCCGCTGGATGCATCCATTAAGAAAATAACGTCGGCTAAATACTTGGCCTCGGGATCTTGTAAAGAAATTTATAATCGCAAATTGAACAGTAATTTCATTGAAAGAAGAAAAAAGTGCTAGGAAAGCAACTTTTTTCCAGGAGTCTCATACAACCCTTTCTCAACCTAAAAGGGGTGCTTAGGATTAAAATCACGTAAACTGCAGCGCCTATAGCTTTGCAAGCAATAACTTTGGCTTAAAATTGTCTGGGGACATATCGCATGATAAATGGTATTAGAGCAGTTAGTGTTTGAATGAAAATTGGCACGGTCACCGTGTTATATCGTGCGAAGTTGCAAACAAGATCTTAACACGTTCCTTTGTTTCTACCGTGCGAAGCAAGACAATGGCTACCAAGTTAATGAGGCAAGTAACTTACACGCAGCTAACGTGTTAAAAGCTCGTTCTTTTCTTTTAGCGTGCTGGTGTACGGTGAGTGTGCGTTCACCCTATTCCCTAAAATCCCGTGGAGGGTCACAAATAACAGCAACAGTAACCAAAATACAGAAAAAAACCTTAAATGCAATTAATTCACGCGAATTGATACATACCTTGGCATATCGCTTTTCGCATCTGTGGTGCAATTGCTTGAAGTTCTCCAAAGGACGAGGGTGTTAAAACCTTATCAGGACTGGACGCAATTTCTTCCAATTCATTTCTATCTACTCCGTTACCGATACCGATAGAATACATCGCGACCCCCTTTTTCTTGATTCTCTCGGAGACCTCCAGGAGGCTGGTATATTGTCCATCTTTCGTCTGCTTCCCATCAGTGATAAGAATGACAATCTATGGGGGTGCATATTAAACGAACATAAGACAAAAGAGCAACAACAATAAAAAGTAACAGACTTTTGGCTTATTTCAATTTATTGATAGGGATGCAGTCAAAAAGTTATCGGATTCGCCTTAAGTGCAATAAAATTACTGTGAAAAAAATACGGAGACAAGAGACGAAATAAAATTCAAGGGTGCTAGGCTTGAGTTAAAGGCAAATTTCAAAAACTATGAAGAAAGATATATAATGAATCGGGTCAGAACGACCAGGTTTGAAATTGTTAGAGGAAGATATGAATACACATGTTTATGGAAAGCTATAAAGGCTTATCTCTTTCAGGGCGCCATTAAGGAACTTTAATTGCTAGTTTAAACATCTATTTGTTTAGTTTTAAACTTTATTTCTGACTTAAATCTCTTTAAACCATTAATGGACGCAAGGCACTGGAAGTAAAACTAATTCATGAAACATTTAGTAAGGCTAAGAGAATATCAACAGTTGATATTCTCTTAATAAGGTAGACTCCTGGTCTATTATCCAGATTGCTGTCGAAAGATGATTACCTTCGCTATATTTGGCCTCATGCCGTTTGAAGTTTGGAGGATATCTCTGTCTGCGAGCTGGAGAGCTTTGTCGGTGTAGGTTAATCCACGCTGCCAACGCATTCCGTCAAGCACTCGATTCACCCCGTCTGTATCCTGAACATCTTTGAATCTCATAATCACGATAGGATCAGTACTGTAAGCTACAGCTGCCACGTGAGTACGCCCAGGACTAACGTCTAATTTGCTAACCAAAGCTTTCAGAAACCTTTTTGTTCTTTCCCAGTTTGTCTTGCCAATACTTGCGGATGAATCGACGATGAAAGCCATGTCCAATAGCGGACGACAGTCCTTGTCTACGTGATAACAGCGTGAAAATCAAAGTAAACCCTCTATATGTTTTAATCTAGGTCAATATTTACTTTCGATCGAATGGATTAAGATTTCTATTGAATGAAGTTAATAACATGACCCCCTTTCTAGCATGTTAAATCAGAAAAAGCTGCACTAAACTGTAAAAAAATTAAGCTACAAAAAAACAAACAAAAAAATGACAAAAACTAAATTGGAATTCCTAATATGAACTAACTTTGTCATTATACAACATGAAACAATTAGCATATACAAAGAGATAAATTACGACGGAAAACCTACCACATGGTCCTGTTTTTACTGAATAAGCTACTATATTTCCCAGGCAAGACTGCTGAAATAAATTGCACAAGCTTTTATCTTGTACACCATCGTTCGAACAAACAGGCTTCCGAACATCGGGACAGAGTGGACAAATACATTCTGCTTGATTCTCTACAACACGACAGCCACGATTGTATGGAGCTCTGCAGCCTGTCGTTTGGCAAGGATCTGTGTGATTTGATGAGAAATATTTCCTAATTAATTATCTTCTCCTGGCGGTTGAAAGTAATTTTGAAGAAAATTTAAATACCTGGGGTTGTTGGCAAAGGCGGTGTTGTCGAGGGTGGAGTTGGAACTGTTAAACATTAAAATGAAGGAAAGTCAGAAACAATTGGAAGCTTTAGAGATGTAGTCATCTCCAAAAGCAAACTTATCATTAAAAAGAAAAAAAGAACAGAGTCATAAAGACGAAATTATGCGAGTACACCCTGACCTTGACAATACAGGGATACCGCCATAATCGTGTTCAAAGCCACTTACCCGTGGTGGTAATAGTTAGCCTGTCCTCACAAAATTCTCTTGTCAGCAGTGAGACGAGCCTTTGAAGTTCTTCGAATGATGACGAGCTAAAAACATACTGTGGGCCAGATGAAATCTCCAGAAGCTCCGCACGGGCAGCTTTATTGCCAACTCCGAGAGCATACACAGTTACGCCTTTGTTTTTCATCCCTTGAGAAGCCACTGAAAGTTTGGTGTAGGGCTTTGACGTGGTTTGATTACCGTCTGTGATCACAAAGGCCAACTATCCAAACACAGTGTATATATCAATATAAATCTTAAAGCGAATACAACAATAACCATGGCATGCTAATGCCGGACTTAAAAGGAAAAACAAACTACAGAAAACACTGCATTAGTTATCATCCCCTTGAATCTAAAGATCAATTAAAACAGTAAAAGATTAAATAGGATAATTTCAAGACGGAGATGACCTCCTTTTTTTTGGGGGGGGGGGGGCTGCGTTACTTGTATTAAAAAAAAACAATTAATTTTGAAAGGGAAAAAAAACAATTAATTTTGAAAGGGAAAAAAAACAAAAGTTTTTAAACGGTCCTTACCTTAGGTACTCGCCATCTCATCCCGTTTGCTGTCTGAAACAGATCTCTGTCAGCTAGGAGAAGAGCTTTGTCCGTGTAAGTGAAGCCACGTTGCCAACGCATCCCATCTAACTTTCGGTTTACCTCTATTGTGCTCTGGATGTCATTAAACCTTGTTACTACTACGGCATTGTTACTGTATGCAACAGCTGCTATGTGTGTGGCAGAGCGACGAACATCAAGTTTACTGACCAAAGCCTTGAGGAATCGCTTCATTTTCTCCCAGTTCTTACGTCCGATACTCCCAGATGAATCAATTACGAATGCAATGTCCACAACGGCGCTACATTCCTTATCTGCGTAAGAAAATAAGGGGTAAGTAAGTGCTTCCACATTAGAATGCTGATTTCTATATGAAAACAACAAGGTGTTACCAGAAAAAAGGAACAACAGGAAATACTGAGGGTAAATGGTGGCTTAGCGTATTAGGGCCTGTTTGCATGAAGGTGAGGTGAGGTAACCCGCCTAGCCGTGGTCGAAAAATAAAACGCGTCTACATGCAATCTTACAACCCCGGGGTGCTGGGGTGAGGTTTCTTGAGGTTGTTGTTGCGCCCGCAATTAAGGAGTTTGAGCAGAGGCGTCTCAAGCTCACATCTCGAGAAAGACGAAAGATTAATTCTCGCACAATATGTATTTATTCATGAAAGCGTCACGCGTTGTGTTTCGCGGTGTCAGGTTACGCGAGGAACCGTTGACTTAATATGTTATACGGAATAGTTTGGGAAACGAAATATGGTCGATTTACAACGCTAAATATTCCGAAATGTGAACATTTTACACTCCTTGTGTGTCCATTGCGGTTTCGGGTGATTTCTGTCATGAGACGGCTAGGAAATGTACAAAGTTTTAAAACACATATGTTTCGCTTTTGAGCTTTTTGCCATGAACGCGGCCCCGGCTAGGCGGGTTACCCCACCTTGAGACGTTTACATGGCAAATTGTCACCCCGGCTGACAGGGTTACCCTACCTGGCAGACCGGGCAACCCGCCTAAGCGGGTCACCTCACCTATCATGTAAACGTGATCAAGATAAAATAAGAAATTATATGGACAGGCGGGTTACCCCACCTAGGCGGGTTACTTCACCTACCTGGGGTCCCCCACCTCCATGTAAACAGGCCCTTAGTTCTTTAACACACTGACAGTAAGAGAGGTGAAAATGTAAGTAATAAGCCAAATCACTAACAAGTGAATGGTAAACATACCACAAGGCTCCTGCTTGGCAACGGTTACGCCCTTAATATCTCCCTGACAAGCTTGTTGTCTTAGATAACACTCGTTTAAGTCCTGAACACCATCTGTTGCGCAAACAGGTCGATATATATTCTGACAAGCTGGGCAAATGCACTCCACCTTATTGTCTACTACGCGGCAGCCAATATTGTATGGAGCTCTGCAGCCCGTCGTTTGGCAAAGATCTGTGAGATTTGATGAGAAAATATTTCCTTATTAATTATCTTCTCCTGACGTTTGAAAGAAATTTTGAAGAAAATTCCATATAAGTACCTGGGGTAGTTGGCAAAGGCGGTGTTGTCGAGGGTGGAGTTGGAACTGTTGATTAAAATGAAGGAAAGTCAGAAACATTTGAAAGCTCTAGAAATGCAGTCATCTCCAAAGGCAGACTTATCAATAAAAAAAAAAACAATGTCATAAAGGCGAAATTATGCGAGTACACTCTGACCTCGA